AGCAGAGCTCCCAGCAGCGGCAGGGCAAGGGAAGCTTTGGCTCAAACTGAGGTCAAGGCCTCCCTCATGAAGGCAGCGAGAGCAGGGAAGCAGGATTAGTGGCTCAGGGGGCAGTTAGAACAAGAAGCAGCTTGTGCTCTGCTGGGGGGAGGGGATAGGCATTGAAGGACAACACTCCTCTTTCCCAGATCTTGCCATGTCCACGGGCCACCGGGTATTTCCCTGAGCAGAGCAGCCAGGAGAGACTGCTCACCTCTGGAAAGAGAAAACATGTGGCAAATCACAGCTCCATCCCTGCTACAGGCAGCTGCCTATTCTCTGGCAGGTCCTGCCTCCCTCAGGAAGGGCTGGGTAACCCAACCCAGAGCGGGCTCTGGCTCAGGCAGCCCACTGAACGTTGAAACACAACTTGGAGCTCGCTAGGGAAGCACAAATCAGCACCAAGTGGCTGAGAGTGGGTCCAGAGCCAACCATGCTTGAGTCCCGCAGCTGCAAGCAGCTGTTGAGGCAGCAGCCCAGACTGCCAGTCCTGGAAAGAAGGCAAACACTGTTCTGGGCAGAGGAGTCAGCCAGGCAAGCAAGTCCATAGCAGCTGCAAGACATTTCCGTTCTCCTCATCCCTCGAAAGCTCTGCTCTCGCTGCCTGCTCAAGGTGTGGCAGAAATGCCCTGGGGAGCCCAGGAGCCCACTTCAAGAGCAAGGTATTCTTTAGGGATGGTATTATTAACGTAGAAAGGGAGCAGACTTGCTAGCTGAGTACCTTCAACAATATCCCTCTCCCTGAATGACAGCAGCATGTTTAGCCAGGACACTCCGTCCCAGCCCCCTCAGTTCCCCAGCACAGGGAGTGCCAGCCAGGTGAGGGCGGGACCCCTGCCCCTGGGGTCTGGCCAGCCAACACAAGGGGAGATTGCCTGCTACCCCCTCATGCCCACCTCCCTGCCAGATCTGCCCAGCACAGGCAAGAGTGGGGTCAGTGCTGCTAGAGGACTTGCTGGAGAGGAAACACTTACCTGTCTGCTGAATAAGCGCTGGAGTAGCCCCTTTTTGGGCTGTGGAGAAGGCTGCCCTTTCCAGTCGAGGTCTGGAGGCACTGTGCCATCTGTGCTAAAGACATTCAGCTCCTTAAAACACTCTGTCTCAATCATCTGTAAGAGGACAAATATAGTTATAGCAACTGCTACACAAAGCCAGTCACCAAGGGCCCAGCAGAGCACAAGAGCAGCATGGACCCTGCAGGACACTGCACTTGGCCATGGTGGGCACAAGATGGAGCAAAGAGCTGTCCTGCCAACCTACCTCGTTCTGCCAAGGAATGGGGACACTTCCCGTGGCAAACTTCTGGTAGAAGTCATTGTCTGTAGGCTCCAGCTCCACCCCTTTCACCGTGGAGAACTGCTCAATGTCCAGAACGTCTTTGCAGTAGATGGCCTGGGGCTAAACAGCACAAGGACTGCTCTGACACCAGGCTCCATGAAGATGCCACCAGCTCAAACAACCATGGCTCCTGCCCAAGCCTAGGACCTCCTCTCTCTGCAGCCCAGAGCTCACTTGACCCCTGTTCTGCCAGGCTCCAGAAACAAAAGGGAAGGGGATGGGTGCAGTCTCCTCAGATGAGCCACCCCAGGGCTCCTGCTTCCCTCAACAGCACCGGTGACTGAAGAGGTCAGGACATAGATGGCACTTACATCTGGCTTGAAGGGAGGGTCCAGCATGCCTGCTTCCAGCCTCCTGAAGTTGAGATGCCTGAAGAGAGGGTGCTCCTTCACTTCCTTGGCCCCAGCTCCTCGGCACCCCAGGCGCTCCAGAGGGTCTTTGCACAGGAGCTGCAACACAAAGGAAATCAGTGCCCTGGGTGGAGGGTGCTTCAGGCAGAAGCAGCCTTGAGGTCTCCAGAGATGCCATGGGCCTACTGGGCAACTGGGAAAGCAAGGACTTAAGGTGCTCTGGACCCTCCTCGCTCGTACCATGGTGCAGAGGGAGCGGGCACAGGGGGAGAACTTCTCTGAATACTCCTCCTGCACCTCCTTCACCAGCCGCTCCACCTCCTCCCGCTTGATCTTCTTCTTGCGCTGCTGGAAGGGGGACTGTCCTTCGATCATCTCGTACACCAGGCAGCCCAGGGCCCACCAGTCTGGGCTGAACGTGTAGTGCTCATTCCTCACCACCTCTGGAGCTGCAGAAGAGCAGGGGTGAAGGACGTTTGAGGGCAGGGAGAGCAGGTGTTCACTCAGAGAACACTTGGAT